TGGGATTTTAAGTCTTGCCTGCACTTTTAGTCACTAAACCCCCCAAATTCTGCTGCATTCAAAATAGTAAACTGAGTCTGGATATGCTTTGGGTATAAGAAATATTTTTATTTAGCCCAGAGGAGAGATGAAAGAGATACAGACTGGTAAGAAATGTCTCTGACCTGGACTGAAAGGGAAGGAAGTAAATCTCTGAGTCTCTTACATTATTCAGCTCACACAGAATAAGGGAGATGACAGGAGGAATACAGAGCTAACGTTTTGTTTGACTTAGGGTAAGGTACATTTTAAACTGGAATAGTCTTAGGATCGTGTCTTTAGGAAACAAGCTGCAGGAAGATTGTCCTTTCCAGGGTCCCAGAGAGAGGAACCTGCAATTGCAGCCCTATTAATTAGGGGTTGGGAGGACAATAGTGGAGTGTTTCATTGTTACAGTAAGTATCCTACAGAGCATTCCCTTTTTGCTAGACACAGGATACAGCACGAACTAGAGAGCTGTGGATGCCACCCTCAAAATGTTTATAGTCTAGCGGAGGCCACAGGCTTCAAACAAAATACGGCACAAACAAATGTGTGGTCACTTTCCTTCATGTCTTCTACCTCAATTTACAAAGAGCGGGATGGAGGTTACAGGGCGCTGAGGTAGGGTGTGTGTGTGTGTGTGGGGGGTGTGGGCAGTGGAAAAGCATCCTGAGGAGGTTCTATACATTCTGAATCTGGGAAGATGAGTGTGATTTACTCCAGCTGGAGGGAAACATCCTTGCCAGGGGGAGTACATGGTAAAACTTTGTAAGGAAAATCTCTGCTTCTCCTCACTCATACAAGACTTTCAGGCATTAAATGTGTGGGTCTCTCTCTGTAACACCTGAGACACCAGCTGGGTGTCCTACAACTTGACTCAGTTCTGATACTTTTTACTTGGAGTAGAAGGTCCCAAAAGTTAAGGGCTCAGTCCCACAAGACCACCCCCCTTTCAGATGCCAATTATAACCAGCTTGTATTTCCAGTTGGCCGACCGCAAATCATTGTTCCCATAACCCCCTCAGGTATAATAATTTGCTAAAATGGCTCACAGAAATCAGGAAAACACTTATTCCTAATAAGGGATACAAATGAACAGCAAGATGGAGAAAGATATAGGATGAGCTCTGGGGGGGTCTCACGTACACAGCTCCTGTGAAGTTGGGGTGCTTCATTCTCCCAGTTTGGAATATGTTCACCAACTCAGTTCTCTGACTTCGGTCATTCAGGAATTTTTATGAAGGCTTTGTCATATAGACATAACTGTTAATTAACTCAAACCCCAGCCCTTGCCTCTCCCCCCAAAAAGAGATTTTAAGTTCTAATAACCATCCTGAAGTTATTCAGGAATCTACCCTGAGTCATCTCATTAGAACAAAAGGTGCTCCTATTTTCCAGGAAATTCCAAGGGAGGTAGAAGTTCTCTGTCAGGAATAAGGACCAAAGATAAAATATTGGAACAAAAGCTGCATCTAGCGCCTTTATCACTTAGGAAATGGCAGAGCTTTTGGGAGCTCTTGCCAGGAGCCAAAGATGAAGACTGAAACAGATGTCTCTTATTCTAAGCATGGAAGTGTTCCCCATACCCTTCTCAGGCTCTTATACCCAGGCATAGTTTCTTTTGTATTTCAAACAGCCTGTGGAATTCGGTCACTTGTATTTTATTTTTCTCCGACAAGTCATGTAATCAGAACTCGTGCATTTATTGAGTGATTAAGGTTGTTATTTTTTCACTTATGATACATATGTCCTGAATTTCAAGAATATGTGCAGATTTAAGGAATTTGGAATTTATCCAAAGAAGTACAGGTACATTTTTCTGAAACAAAGTTTGATATGTCTGCCCAGGGCCATCTTGGGTTCCTACCCCTCACTCTTGTCACACAGGCTCTATTAAGACAACCTTCCAGATGTTGCCATGGAAAGGTAAGCACACTCTTCCCATCCTATGTTCTGAGGGAATTTGCAATACAGGAAAGAGTTGACAGTGCAGAGTCAATATAGTACTATGATTAGGACATAGCAGCTGAAGTTAGAAAGTTCTCGTTTCTAATTCTAGTTCCACCACTTCCTGACACTTTTTGACCTCTTAGAGTCAGTCTTTTCTTCTGTAAAATGGGGATAATTACATCACTTCCCTTACAGGTTGTGTGCACATTAAACGAGCTGGAGCATGTAAAGTGTTTGGTATATAAATATTAATTATTATTATGATTATTGGAAATGTATCACTAGTAAGGTCCCACTGATGGATTTAAGGTCTTTTATTTTATTCTATCACTTCTGCTTCTTGGTATTTATTTAAATGACATAGCATTTCAAGAACAAATGTGAAAAGGAATGCAAATATCAAAGTTTGTGTTTATTTTATTCTATGCAATGAAAACTAACTAGGATTGGTCAAGTAATAGAAGCAAGTACACCGAATTATTGGTTCATGAGTTTGTATAAGTCAGTTATCTTTTCTGGGCTTTACCTTCCTTCTCTGCAAATTAAAGGTATTAGAACAGGTAACCAACCGTACATTTTTCCAGTTAAATTGGTTCAGTTAGGCACTACCACATCACATTGACTAGATGCTGTAGAATGACCCTTAACAATCCTGAAGACAGGTGAAGGCAGTTATTAACTTGCTTCTGTTGTTGTCAGTTACAGGGAAATTTTTATTCTCACTGTACACATCTTGTGATAAGGTTTAGAACCCCTTTTTTATTTTTTTAAAGATTTATTTATTTATGCATACAAGAACTGGGGTACAGCCCAGAGGTGGGGTGGGGAGAGAATTAATCAGAGGCATTATGGGGAGTAGAATAGGTGGACTGACCAACATACACTGCTGAGGGGAGCAGTGGGTGAGGCAGAGAGGTCTGCTGTGCCATGTAGGTCACCTCCATGGCTGGGGATCAAACTCATGCTGCTGTGGCTGCAGATAGTTTCATAGCGCTGCACTTTAACTTCTTTTGCTACCAGGGAGGCCCACAGGTTCAGAACCTCTTGTTATAGATCCAGGTAGTCTAGTGGCTTCAGAAAAGGGCTATATTTTAGAGACAAGATGTTTCTTTCTTTAAATTTCCCCTGGGAAACATGTTTCCCTAACTAGGTAGAGGATCAGAATCAGAATGGTAAGTCAAGCTCTTTTCCAGAACTCACCACTTCACCATGAAGGGTAACTTCACCACTTAGCTTTAGTTCAGAAAGGCAAGTGAATCATTTCCAAGGACAAACTGTTGCAAAGGTCAGAGAGATATATTGTTCTGGGAGGATTACAAAGACTATGTGAGAAAACTGAAAAGTGGACAATAAGGGTCTATCAGGAGAGAAAATACTTTTGATTTGTCACTTATTAGATCAAGAGGGAGGGACGTGACAAGAAGGAGAAGGATGTGAAATCTTCTACCACTTATAACTATGTCATTAAAAATGTTCACTGTAGCATTTCAAAACAGCAAAACAATCTGGTAATACCACTAGGGAATTGTTAAGACAATTTTATGATATGAAGATAAACATTATGTATCAATTACAAATATTTACAAAGAATTCTTAAATTCTCTCACCTCTCCTCCAATCCCCCATACCTCTGGCCTGTACCTCAGTTCTTCTATGCATAAATAAATAAATCTTTAAAAAAAATACTTAAATGGGCCCTCCCTGGTGGCGCAGCGGGTTAAAGCACTGCACTGAGAAACTAAAGCCACTTCAGCATGAGTTCGATCCCACCTGCCCCGGAGGTGACCACATGGCGCGGCAGACCTCTCCTGACCCACCCACTGCTCCCCTCAGCAGTGTACTTCATTGATCTGTCTGTTCTGCTCCCCACTCTGTCGCTGGTGAATGCTCTCACCCTCCGCATCTCTGGCCTGTACCCCAGTACTGTATGAATAAATCAATAAATCTTTAAAAAAAATACTTAAATGTCATGGGAAATATTCATGATAAAAAAGATAACAGTATAAATCAGATGAAAATGATAAATAAGACATAATATCAAATGTGTAAGTGTCTTAACAAAAAGCCACAGAGAAGGCTGTGGCCAGGATGTTAACAGTGCTTGTGTCAGAGTTTCATTGTAATGATTATTTTAAACAAATGTGCCCTTTTTTCTAAATGAGATATGTCCGTTTTTATAGTCAGAATCAAAGATAATACAAGCTATCTTAAAAAAAAAAACCTACATGCACAAACTCCAAATTAGAATAGTCATATGAAGTTTAGATTGTCAGGAAAAAGAAAAAAAAATATTGGAAAAATTCTGAGAAAACCATTTAGTACAAGACCAGGTGCCAGAAGAAGAAAGTAGAGTTGTCTGTGGCCCCTAAAATCCTCAGTGCAGAAGGGCTGCCACGGGCAGAGGCCTGCAAGGGTGGTTAGTAGCCTTAGGGACCCGTTGGGTGATTCTACTTTTATACCTTTTCATTTTTAACTCTTAGTAAGTCCTTGAGGGACAGAATGAATATACTTCATTAGGGGGTTTCTGGTTTCCTTACTATTCCCCTAAGGGCCCGTGATGTTTTCTGACACCCCCCTCTGCTTAGGGCACCTCCTCCAGATACTCAGTGGGTTGAATTTGTGCAAATGGGGTGCTTTTGCAAATTCCTAGAAGTGAATGTGAGGCATGAGATGCAGCCTAGCGTAAAGTAGCAGTATTGATAATGATTCAGAGGTCGACATTCTTTTTTTTTAAAAGCTTTATTTATTTATGCATACAAGAACTGGCGTATGTTCTTTTTCAGTGACAAGAAAAAGGCTTGTCTTTAAGAGAAAAAGTCTGAAGTCATCATAATAATGTAATATCCTGTGTGTGAAATGTCAGTCACAATGCTGCGGTTTCAGTTCCTTGATCTGTGCCTAAGGAAGGCAGTTGGTGGTGGCTGTGGATGACTGAGAAACTCAGGCCTGGGCAGGTGTGTCTCGGGCTCACCTCACCATTTGGGCTCCTCAGGGAGGGGCAGCAGGAACCCTGGCCCACTGCTAGCACCATGGTCCTCAGGCTACTCCTGGCGCTCAACTTCTTCCCCTCCGTTCAAGTAACAGGTAAACACTTTTGACTTCTTTCTTCTTCCAAGTTTTTCCAAGTTTTCGAGCTCTTGGATTGACCTCGATCACCTTAAATTTCAAACACCTTGTGAAATTTAGACATCTGAAGAGTAGTTTCGCTCTCACATGGTGATCTGTTGTTTGGAAGGTTGCCGATTCTCAGACTGCTGCATAGTATTTTAATGAACATCCGCTGGAATTCGATACTATCTGTTTAGGTATTAGTTGATAGTGTCCCAAGAATCTGTAGCTCATGTTTAGCTTTTATTTTATTTTATTTGGGCTCCTCAGGAAGGGGCAGCAGGAACCCTGGCCCACTGCTAGCCCCATGGTCCTCAGGCTACTCCTGGAGCTCAACTTCTTCCCCTCTGTTCGAGGGGAATGAAAACGGATATTAGCATGTTGGTCCTGAAGCTCTGGATTTAGACTGCCTGAGATCGTATCACAGATTCACTTCTTATTACTGAGCTTACATGAATATTTAAACTCTCTAAGCCAGGGCTTCCATATCTGTAGGGTGGGGATGATAATACCATCATCATCATCTCAAGGTAATTGTGAGGACAGAATAAATGCATGTGAAATGCTTAGTGTACTTGGTGCTTGGCTAGCAAGGTAAGGATTAGTTATAATTATATGTCTACCTGAATTGAATGAGTGCTAAAATGAATTCTGGAGTTGTCACAGAAGCAAGTACAACCCAATGCAAATAAATCAGTTTTCTTTTATAATTGACTGATATTGGTTTTCTTAGATTAACATCTTTGAGTTTCCAATGATGATGAGGAGAATGACACAACTAACAGGACGGTAGCTAATGCCATTTAGATGAAGAGCTTGAGGGTAGCAACGCTAATTTGTCAGGATGTGTGCCCACTCACTGCTGCAACCCAGACCTGAAGCACCTTATTCTGACCTTGGAACCTTATTTGGATTCCAGAGTCAACCTGCTTGACCATTATGCTAGTCTCCTAACACAATGCGCTTTGTAACTTCAGTGCTACTGATCTATTCAGGGTGAAATAATCAGAAATCATGATGGCAAGCACAAAGAACTACTCTGGTAGGCAGGAGGAGGTGTTTGTTCAGCTTGTCCTTGCAGTTCGAATAGGATCTCTCATCTCCAGTAACTGTCTAATAGGGTCCACCTGCAGGTTTCAATAAGGGCAGTATTTTCCACCTCAAACATACATGGAAAAGCCAGTATCTTCAATTTTCTTTCTCATTTATTTTGAGGGGCTGCAATATTTGTTCCACCATAGCATGTGCTCTATTGGGAATAACTCCCCAAATGCCACACATATAGTCGTATATCAATACCCATCTATTTCATGGTCTGAGGTGCTAGTGAGCACACTTACAAATTATCCATATTTATAAAAGGTGTTGAGATTAAAAAAAAGACATATTTTGGTGAGGGTAGGTGTTAATTCTCAGTATTTAATACCAAACATTTAGAGCTACCAAGATATTCTTTAAAAAAATTATTTTAAAGGAATTTTTTTTAAAAAAATGTTTTTTTAAGAAAGTAAAGAACAGTTTATTTAAAGATAACTAGAACTATTTCAAACTGGTAATTGTATGCTTCTCTGATGTGCATGGTGGACAACCACCTACCAACAATTCATTGGTTTTTTTGATTTTTTTTAACATAAGACTCAAAGCTTTACATTTTTCTTTTAGAACATTTTTGAAATGGAGACTAGCTAAAATAACAATTCAAACATGGAACCTTTGCTACCCATTTTAAGATACATCTAGTTTTCAAATGGCAACTCACCCTTGCAATAACTTTCAAGATTTGCTGCTGAGTGGTCATTTAATGAAGTGGGAAGGAGTCAGGGTAGAGAGGGAACTTCTGACATGACTTTTCTAGTAAGAATATCTATGAGAAAGAAAATAATTACAGCAAATAAAAAAGTCTGATCCATTCTAATCAGTGCTGCAAAACTGTCTGTGACTTCTAGTTTTTCTCCACGAAGAAATTATAGATACGGAACTTCTCTGGTCAAAGTATAATTGTCCTTTCTAGAATTGCCAGAGACTTATTATTCTGCGCTGAGATGTAACTGTAAAGAGCAATTCTTTTTTCCATTAATTGAACAATGATAACTCATTGGTTCATAGTATAGTTTAAAATGAAGGTTAAGCTTAACCTGATTTTTCATGATTTTGATGATTCTGTAGATATATCTTTATGGCTATATTCAAGATGTATGATGCAGGAAGGGTGAAGAAATCCTAATCGATAGTTCCTTTGCTAAAGCTATACGTTTTCTATTGGGTTTGGACAGTTGTGCAGTTACGATCCACAACAGAGGATTTTGCTAGACTTTGGCATAAATCAAGCTTAGAACTCAAGTCCTTGAAAGGTAAATGACTAATGATTGAGAGGAGTGTGCATGTAACACATGGCATTGTTCATAGATATTTTCAGCCCGTATTGGCTATTTTTCAGCCAGCTAACCATCCAGTATGAAGACTAGGACAGGAAAACATTACTTATTTTTCCAGGACACATTTATTTTTATTTCCTCCTAAGCAGCAAATAAACTGCCAAAATGGTCAGTTCAGACTACTATTGATTTCTCTAGTGCTGCTGCATTTTTCTCGCCACTTCTTTTTCTGAGAGGCACTGAAAATAGGAAAATGGTTGGAATTTGATAAAAAATCAGCAAAGCATAGTACTTAAGAACTTTAATTTTTAGCTCATCAAATTACCTTTCTGAGATAGTTGTGCACAAAAAATTGTGATGTACCCCTAAAGTTAAGTGTTGCTTTGAGACAAGTCTTAGAAAAGTAAAGTAAAAAGATGCAAATTGAAGTATACAATATATGGGCCTCCCTGGTGGCACAAGGAGTTAAGCCTTCAGTACTATGAAGCTAGCCACAGTCACTGCAGCATAGGTTTCATCCCCAGCCAGGGAGTGCGTCAAGGCACAGCAGACCTCTCCTGTCTGGCCCACTGCCCCCCTCCTCAGTTTATTTCAGTCGTTCCACCTATTCTGCTCCTCACTCTTGTTTCTGGTGAATCATCTCACTTCCCACACCTCTGGCCTGTACCCCAGTTCTTGTTTGCATAAATAAAACAAATCTTTCAAAAACAAGAATATACTACAGTACTGTATCGACATTAAAAGATACTTCTTAAAAAGGCAACCATCCAGGCCCTCCCTGGTGGAGCAGCGGGTTAAAGCACGGCACTAGGAAGCTTAAGCCACTTCTGCATGAGCTCGATTCCCGCCTGCCCCGGAGGTGACCACGTGGCGCGGCAGACCTCTCCTGACCCGCCCGCTGCTCCCCTCAGCAGTGTACTTCGTCAATCTGCCTGTTCTGTTCCCCACTCTGTCTCTGGTGAAGCCTCTCACCCTCCCCATCTCTGGCCTGTACCCCAGTTCTGTATGAATAAATAAATAAATCTTAAAAAAAAAAAAAAGGCAACCATCCAGAAAGGGTTTTTCTAGCAAGGACTATAAAATTAATATCAATACATCAATACCAGGAAATAGAATGAGTCTTTCCCAGATAAATTAGAAACAGAAATGAGTCTGAGACCATAAATCTGAGGCTCTCATATTCAAACATTTGCTCTGGGTGGCAAGGGGTCTCAGTGTCTCTCCTTCCTTAGACCTAGGCTGTCCTCCTCTATAATGACTTTATCCTATTTTCATGACTAGACAAATGCCATATGGCTACTGTTCAACTTTTATCATGTGTGGATATCTGCCTCCAAGTATTTCCTGTATGCAGTGTGCTGACATTTGCAAAATGAACATTTTATGCCACCAACATCCCCCAAAATTCATTTTGTAGTTTATCATCTCTAAAACAATAGCTCTTTACTGGTTAGGTAGGCACTGACAGGGCAGCATAATTCACTGCAGACTCTCGTCTAAAAATCAGGGGACAGCCACTCTTGAAAGCATAGCTGTTTCACAGCAGCTCATTGAGGAGGATAAAATCTTTTCTCCTTTTCATCTTGGCTATGTTTTGTTTTCCTTTCAAGTAATTTATTACTTATGAACGTCACAGTGGCTGGAATTTTTCTTTTCAGTAAATAATTTAGCTAAACATCAGAAAAAAACCAACATCTGGCTGTTTTGTGACTGACTGAAAGAGTCTCTGGTTTTCCAAGTCAAGGAATCTGTATCTCTTATGGTGATTTCTTTCACCCTCTTTGGTCAATGACATGGTGTTGTCACCAAAAAATGCAACTGGAGCATTCTCAATCTGAGAATTGTTGCATGAGAACTGGTCCGTGCAGTTGAAGTGAAGGTAACTCAGGTCCCACAAAGACGTGGTTGGAAAATGGGTGTCTAGCTTCTTGCTTGTTATTCTCGTTTTGCTGACTCTGAACACTGGAAGAAAGGCGTGCTGCACAAAATGAAGAGTGACTCAGTTTCTTGGTAGAGGAGCTTAGACTAAAAAAGAGAGCTTAGACTCTTTTTGCCTTAACATTTCAATGTGCCATAGGCATATGAATTTAGTCTGAGTATCAACATGCAGTTTGTGTGTTTATCACTCTTGCTGCAAGCAAAACTGCACTATGGTGGAGAACCTCTTAACTCTGATTTGCTTCTTTATCTCAAAACCATTGTTAGTACTGTCTTTGCACTTGTTACCATCTCCATCATGTGGGGGTCTGCAGCAGCCAAGGTAAGCAGCTTAATTGTTTTTCATGATGCCATCAGTCACCCACTCACAGTTCACTTTGACCTCTGATCTATTTGTGAGCCTCTTCAGCAGAATTTAAGTCACCCTCTTGACTCACAATCTACCAAATAAAAATTAATCACAGCAGCAACTCTTGACATCTCTCGCTAATTCACCAAAGAAGCGGAATCATTGAGTCTTACATTTTTGACAGAGCTTTAAAAGAAGGCAGGGGGTGTGGAGGGGAGGAGAGAGTGTTTGACTTATTTTTCTACTTTTTAATTGTTTTTACTTTCTGACAAAGTAGAGTTGTGTTCTTCATTGATTAGGGAAGAACATCTCTG